CCCCCGGGGGGGCCCCTCCAATTCCCCCGAAATGCCCCGAAATGCCCCGAAATCGGGGGGGGTTAGGTTGGGCCTCTTCCATGGGGCCCTCAAGCGGGGGAACATCCTGATCCAGTCCTACTCGCGGTGGGGGGTCAAGGGGGTGGCCCCCCCGCCCCTGGGGAAACCTGGGGACCCCTTGGGGGGCAAGGGACCCCCCCCCCCCCTTTGGTGTGCTTTCGGCAGGGGATGGACTTGGGCCCCCCCTGTTTCAGGGGGGATCCCCTTTCCTCTTAGGGGGAGTGGGGCTCTTACCGGGGCCGGGGGGTTTTGGGGTTTTCGCGTTTTGCTTCCGGGGGGGGATTAATAGCCCCCCCCCCCCCCCCCCTTGCCCACGAGAGCAGGTGGTGCTCGGGCTCGGCTACGGCCAAAAGATCGACCTCTGGTCGCTCGGGGCCATCCTCGGGGAGCTGCACACGGGGTACGTGCTCTTCCAAAACGACTCCCTCGCCACCATGCTCGCGAGGTGCGCCCGAGATCGCGCCCAGATCGCGCGCGCGCTGCGCTGCCGAGAGGGCGGCTGCGCACGCCCCCTTTTCGCGCAGAGTCAGCCTTAAGCCCCCCCCCCCCCCTTTCCGTAGGATCGTGGGCATCCTCGGCCCCTTCCCGCAGCGGATGCTTGAGCGCGGTCGCCACACGCACAAGTTCTTCGTCGGCGACACCCCCTACGAGCGCGACGCCTCCGGCGCCATCTGCCTGCTCCGGCCGAAGCCGTCCTCGCTGCGGCACCGGCTGCACTCGGACGACAAGCTCTTCCTCTCCTTCGTCGGGTCGCTGCTCAAGGTGGACCCCGACCAGCGGCCGACGGCGCAGCAGGCGCTGCAACATCCATGGATAGCGAGCGACCCCTACCAGTAGACGATAGCGGACTCCAGCTCTCGTCCCATCCCCTTGTGGCCGAGGTGGCACCTCTCCCCCTGCCCCCTGTGCTGTTGAGCTCGTGGCCTAAACAAAAAGCTAGGGAAAAAGGTGGGCTCACAGGCACAACACTCCGGGGACCCGTTCCTTTTTACCCATCTCACAGTAGATAGGTGTCCGTTTTTATTTATTTATTTACAACACTCCGAGCCCGCCGGACGCTTCGCTCGCGGTCTCGCCCAGCAGCTCACGCGTCCCTCTCACACGCGGGTCATGTTCTCATGTATGTGGCCTCGCGTCTCTTTTTTGCGTGTTTCCTTGGGCGGGGGCACTCTCCCCCGGGCGCCCCCCGGCGGGTCCCGCGCCTTCTCCGATCCGTTTGCGCGTCACAAAATCTCATGATGATACAATGATGTAGTCGTCATGAAACCACGGGGGGGGGGGGGGGCGATACGGCTCTTTGCAATGAGATACTCATTCCTTCATTCCTTGAGGGCACCCCCGCGAACACAGAGTACAAGAACACAGATAGCGACTCCGACACAGCCGTACGTCATACGTCACACGAGCCACTACAGTCGACAGTACACTTGTACACACCACCACAGACAGGCGCGACGAGCGGTGTGCCTCTACTTTCGCTCACGCGTCCTTGTCGTTTTGCACTTTTTCTTCGCGAGCTCGACCACAAGCAGCCGCTCTGGGCCCTTCAGCTGCGTCTGTCGTCAAGATCCTTGCAAGCTGCGACCGCAGTCATCTCCTAAGGGAGGAGGTCTGTCGTGGCCGCCGGCTCCGCGTCCACCAGGTGCCAGTAGTGCTGTCCCTTTTCGCAGGGCACGTCGGTTGTCGGTACCGCCGCATTGTAGCGGCGACACTCGTTGTTCGCCTCACGGTAGTCAAAGGCGAAACAGCTCTCCGTCACGAGGCAGAGGCACACGCAGTCGGCCTCACACCCCACCTGCATGCACCGGGGGGGGGGGGTAGATGGGAAGCTGCTGTGCGCCTACGGCCATGCGGGGCTGGACTCGCCTTTACAACATCGAGCTGTGCTTCCTCCGGCACCCCCGAACCGCGCCGGTGCCCATCCACGAGCCAGATCGCCCCTCCCGCCTCAACCTGCTCGGCGTCTGCGCTGCCACCCGCGCAAGGCCGAACGGGCGTCGCGGCGTCGCAGCTCGCCGACATGTCGCCGGCGCATTCGTACAAGCCGGTGGGGGGGGACAGCGGGGCTGCAGGCGGCGGGAGTGACGCTGAAAGGCTTCCTGACCAGATCAAATCAGAGTCGTGCCCGCAGCCGGTGCCCCTCGCGCAGTTGCCCTCCAGCTCCTCCGTTGTGCAGAGCCGGGCGCCGGCGGCGGAGCAGATGGCCTCCGCCTCGGTAAAATTCTTCTCGTGGTGGCAGCCGCCCATCTCGGCCCCGTCCGACTCGGACCAGACAGAGCAGCCTCCCCAGCGGCGCCACGTGCTGCCGAGCTTCGTCTCGGAGCAGCAACGTACCTCGTGCAGCTCCGACGGCACTGCCCAGCGCGCGGACTCTGAGCAACGGCCTGCCCGACCGCACGTCGCGAACCGAAGTGGAGTTGCAGCTCCCGGCGGCGGAGGGGGAGGCTGTGGCGGCGGCGGCGCGGACGGAGAGGTAGGCGGCGGCGGGGCGAGCGACGGGAACAGGACGTCCTTGTCACCTCGCTCGTAGGTGTCCGCCACGCTCTTGAGCCTGCAGTTGGGCGGGTCTTGCTCCCGATTGTGCACGATGGCCACGCACTCGGAGTGGTTCTTGCAGGCCGCCACGCACTCGCAGACACCTCCGGAGCCGTACACGACGGTGCCGACGACAAATCCCCGAATTGACGCGCCAGTGCGCACGGTGTGTGTGCACGCGGGAGGGAAAGTGGATGGCTGAGTTGGCGCAGGCGAGGGCGAGGGCGGCGGCGACGGAGCACTGGACGGGGGCGGCGGCAGCGGAGGTGGCGGAGGCGGAGGCGAGGGCGGCGGAGGCGGCGGAGGCGAGGGTGGCGGAGGCGAGGGCGAGGGCGGCGGCGAGGGAGCACCGGACGGGGGCAGCGGCGGCGGCGGCGGAGGCGAGGGCGACGGCGGCGGAGGCGGCGGAGGCGAGGGCGGCGGAGGCGAGGGCGAGGGCGGCGGCGACGGAGCAGCGGACGGGGGCGGCGGCAGCGGAGGTGGCGGAGGCGAGGGCGACGGCGGCGGAGGCGAGGGAGAGGGCGGCGGAGGCGAGGGCGAGGGCGGCGGCGACGGAGCAGCGGACGGGGGCGGCAGCGGCGGCGGCGGAGGTGAGGGCGACGGCGGCGGAGGCGGCGGAGGCGAGGGCGGCGGAGGCGAGGGCGAGGGCGGCGGCGAGGGAGCAGCGGATGGCAGAGAGGGCGTCGGTGGGGGAGGCCACGTCGCGTTCACAGGCGGCGACGGCGCTGGATGGCGATCCTGCAGCCACCAAAAGTGCTGCTGGACGCTGCATGGCACTCCCGTCGTGCTGACCTCCGCGCGGTAGAGGCGGCATTGACCGTTCTGGTGCCTCCAATCGAAGGACACGCACTCTAGGTTGGCGCGGCACTTGCACGCGCACTCGGCTTCGCAGCCCACGGCAGTGGCAGAGATGCGCTGGGCTCCCGCCCCGCTTGCTCGCTCGTGGCACATTGTGCGCCAGGTCGCCCCGCCGGCTTGAACGACGACAGTCGGGCACCGGGTGCAGTGACGCGGCTGGTAAGTTGTGCAGCCTGGCTCCCCAACGTGCTCGCCCTCGCAAGTGAAGGGAAAGGGCGGCGGCGAGGGCGGCGGCGGCGGCGGCGAGGGCGGCGGAGGCGGTGAGGGCGGCGGTGAGGGCGGCGGCGGCCCGTTGGGCGGAGGCGGCGGCGACGCGGGCGGGAGGGGCGGCTGGGGTGGTGCAGGGGGCGGCGTGGGGGGGCCCACGAGGCAGCCGTTTGTGTCCGCCGCGAACCCATTGTAGAGGAGCCGGTTGGCAGTGTCAGCGGGCATGTCGTCAATCACGTCCGCCGTGGCGAGGCAGTCGATGGCGGCCGCCAGCTCAGCGGGTGTGAAGTACGGGTGTGCCGCCCAAACTTGACTCGCCACGCCCGCGACGTGCGGGCATGCCATCGAGGTTCCAGAGGCGGCGCGCGTGCACGAGTCGCTCGTGGTGCAGGCGCCGTCAACCGACGAACCTGGCGCGAAGAGGTCGACGCACGAGCCGTGGTTTGAGAAGGAGCTGCGCTCGTCGGTCCGGGTGGTGGAGCCGACTGTGATGGCGAGCGGTGTGGAGGCGGGCGAATAGTTGCATGCGTCGGCGTTATTGTTGCCAGCGGCGACGACAGACACGACTCCTTGCGCGTATGCCCAGTTGATGACCTCGTCGAAACGTCCGCCTCCGCCGCCGCCGAGCGACATGGAGATGATGGCAGGTACGTGTGCGTCTAGCTCCGCCTCGCGCCGCTGCACGTCCGCGACCACCCACTCGATGCCCTCGAAGATGCCAGAGGTGGAGCCCGAGCCTACATACATCAATTTCACGCGCCCTATCGAATCATGCCACACGCGGGTCAGCGCCAGAGGTGGAGCCCGCGCCGGCGCACGAGAGAACCTGTACGGTCACGATGGTCACCTGTTTGGCCACGCCAAGCTCGATGCCGCCCACGGTCGAAGCGCAGTGCGTTCCGTGCCAGTGACAGGTGTTTGCGTCCGTGACGACACCGTCCCGCACCCACCCCGCGCTGCATCCTATATGGCGAGAAGGGAGGTGCAGGTGAAGGACTAGGAGCGGCGGTGCTGCCCCACCGGCCGTCTCTGTTGCCGTTGTCGTTGCATCCCGAGCTCCACCCAGGCTCGGCCCGGCCGCCAAATTCACTATGCGTGATGCGGACCCCCGTGTCGAGCACGTAAACAATCGCTCCGGAGCCCGTGATGCCCGAATCGTCGTACTGGTTGTCAAGGCCAACGCGGCTGTCGATTCGGTCGATGCCCCAGGTCGGCCCTTCTTGGATCGCGCTCGGCGCGGCGTCGTTCTCGGTCGGAAGCTCGATAATGCAGTCGGCACCGATGGAGCGCACGCTTGGGTCGAGCATCACCTCTTCCAGCGTGGTTTCATCCAGCTGCGTGGTGGTGGAATGGGCTGTCAGCTGGGAAGGCTGGGATGCGGGGCGGTTCAGGGCGGGGCAGACACCTCTGCAGCAGTGATGGCGTTCAGTGACTTGAGGTAGCGGACAGGAGCCGCCGACAGGGCGCCGAGCTTTGCCTGAAGCTGCTGCTGCTGCACCCTGGAGCACTCGGCGCAGCCCTCACAGCCTCCCCATGAGCACTTCTCCTCCCACGGATCGGTCTTGAGGGCGCAGAAGGGCCGGCAGAGGGGTGAGGCCGACGCGGGTGGCGAGGGCGATGGTCCTGTTTTCCTGGTGCAGTGCACGCCGGCGTCCACGCCTGGGCAGTGCTTTGCGACGCACCTAGCGATTCACAAGGGCGCAGTCAGTTTTGCGGGTCGAGGAGGAGCTGTCAGGGAGTCGAGACGCACATAGGACAAAGCACGGCGTCAGACCCGTCGGCATTCTCAGCGGTGCAGTGGCACGGGAGCGGAACAAGGGACACGATGAGGCCGGCCGTGCCGGCAACACACTCCTCCGCGAGCTGCTCGGCGAGGCCGCGCCGGCGCGTGCCGTCGATCGTGGAGCTGGAGGCGGTGGTGACGCTGATCGAGAGGATCAGCAGTAGCTTGAGCAGCGCCATTCAACTAGGGATATCCGATTCGACAGGCTGCGTCGGACGGAGGCAGCCAAACGCAGCCCATTGGCATTGCAGCCGCTTGCTTTTCGAATTCGGCGGTTTGATGGACGAGATGGACCGAGATGACCGAGATCGACCGAGGTATCCGGAGGTAAACCGACGAGCAGAACGCGCAATCATTCATTATTCCGTATGGACCAACCGTTCATTCCATAGCACGGACGGCATGTGTGCACACGGGACACGGCATGCATCTCTCTCTCTGCATGCACACGCCCCAAAACTCTTTTGCGTTCGCGGTGGCGGCGCCCCGCCCGCCAGACACTTAACTAAATAAAACGGACACGCCGAACGAGGTGGGAGAAGGACGGGTCTCCACCTGCACTTGGCGCACTTGGAGTGCAGTCATTAACCGCAGGATCTTGGATCGACCGACAGCATAAATAAATAAAACGGGCAGGCCAAACGAGGGGTGGGAGAAGGACAGGGTCCCCACCTGCACGAGCAGGATCTTGTAAGGACGATCAGGGACACAGGGGAACGGGAGCGGGGAGCGCATCGCGACACGGAGGGGGGCTGGGCAGGGTTCACCCACACGACAGGGTCCCAGGCACTTGACAAGGCCGGGGCGGGGAAGTTCTTTTCGTTCGTTGTTAAGTACCCGCACGTGCCAGTCCGTGCGACGGTGTATCAGTCGCCTTATGCCACCGTTGCATATCCGCGCCTGTGTCGAATGATTTTTTATCACATTAAAACACTCCTCATCGCAAACCCTGTCAGCAGTCCTCCTCCGGGAATGTACGTAAGAGCCACATACATTGAAAAATAAATTTCCTTCGTTTCACGATTGTGGGCCGGTTGCCCGTCGCTGTCGTGGGCCGGTTGTGCCTTTCCGTGTTCGCCGTCGTCCGCTTTCGACGCACAGCTTTCTGCGCAGCGAGCATGCCGATGCGAGCCCTGACACCGGAGGAGATGGTGGAGTGGCAAGCAGCCAAGGCAATGCGTGAGGAGAAGATGCGAGCATGGGAGGAGGTGCGCAAGCCTCAGATGGCGGCGGAGGAGAAGCTCACGGAAAAGATGAAGGAAGTGGGACGCAAGTTCGATGAGACGGAACAGGCTCCAGAAGAGCTCGAGGCGGCGCTCCTCGAGCTCGTCGAGGCTATCGACGTGGCAAAGAACACCGAACGTGAAGTTGGCACGCTGACGAACATACGTGCAGCCGAGTTGCTGCTGATGGATTTGCGCGGGGAGGAAGGACCCGACATTCCTCGCCCACCCGAGAGAAAGCTACCCGTTCAAAGAAGCGTCTCCCCCCTCCACGAAACGACCACCCCCTCCACCGACCTGCTGCGCGGGCCATCCTGTGAGGCTATGTGAGCGATGGCGTCACGGTGACGGTCGTGTGTCACGACTCACGTTGTCACTTTTCACACCTGACTCCGGTATCGAATCACCCCTCTCCAAGTCTCGGGTTGGGACTTTTTGCGGGGTATGGTACGGTGGCTCAGGTCCGAGCCTGACTGCTTCACATAAACGCACAACCCCGGGCCCGAAATCGCACAGAGACAGTCACGCAACATTCTTCACCTTCCTACCTAACCTAAGACCATACCCCCCAGCCTGCTGGCAGACCTGCTTGGGGGTATGGTAGGGCTAGTCTTGGGCGGTCAGGACCATACCCCCCCACCCCTTTGGGCCGCGACGCTACCGTCCATACCATAACCCGGATAAAGTTGGAACCCGGGCAATTAGGCTTTTTCTTTTAAAATGAACTCCCGTCGTAGGACGCGGCACGAAGGGGGCACAAACTAGGGAGGGCACAAACGCCAGGCTACAAACACGGGCAGGCACGCAGTAAATTAGGTAAAAGCATCCTCTCGGTGACTGGCGCGCACCTGCACTCTATCTATCTATATATAACACAGGCCCAAAGGTACACAATCTCGTAGTCAGAACGGTCCCCAGTTGCCGTTCCGGTCAACTCAGGCCGCACGAACGACGGTCTCGACGCACGACGGAGCACTTGGAGCACTTGGAGAGCAGTTGGTATCTCACATCCACAGCCGGGGAGCGTAGACCGTAGACGGTGTCCATTTATTTCACGCCTTGTTATTGAGAAGGAAATACCTCGTATGGCGCTGTGCGCTGGTCTACAACTGTACGAGAGGTTGAGGTGCGACCTTCACAGCCTTGTTGTGAGAAGAAAATACGTCCTATGAACGCAATTCACACCGGGAACCGCTGCCCGGGCCGCGCCGTTTCAGGACATGTCAGACTCCGACGAGTGGAGCGACGCCGAATCGGACGCAGCGGAGGGTGAGCAGCGCGAGTGTGCGGCCACAACCGGCCGCAGGGAGTACTTTTCGCGCTGCGCCGCGCTCGAAGCTGTGCCCTGCGCAATGCTTGTGGCGAAGCTCCGGTGCGAACACATAAATCTACGCCACGCAGGGATGGGGGTCAAGGGGGCGAAAGCTCTGGCTGCAGCGCTCGCCGTGAATGAGCATATTCGCTCGCTCAACCTCGGAGACAATGCGTTTGGCGACGAGGGGTGTGCCGCCTTCGTGGGGCTGTCCAACACCACCCTGACCTCGCTCAACTTGGCCGACAACCAGATAGGCTTTCACGGCATGCGATCGCTCGCGAGTGCGCTCCCTGGCGTGCCTTCGTTGCGCGAACTAGTGCTCAAGGGCAACGCGCTCGACGATCGAGCCGCCGTGCCGCTCACTGACGCTCTCTCTGGCCCCGCCGCGGCCTCTCTCACGCGGCTCGACGTATCTTACAACACGCTCGGCGAGGCCTCGGGCCTTGCGCTGGGCGAAATGATCGCGTCCAATGCCCACCTGCTCGACTTGGATCTGGGATGGAACTCGCTGAGAGGAGCAGGTGGCTCCTCCGTCGCCCACGCTCTGCCGAGGAGCGCTCTCCGACGAATCAATCTGAGCTGGAACAGCATCGGTGACCAGGGCGCGGTGGCGCTCGGAGAGGCCATCCCCGGGATCGCGGCGCTCACGCACCTCGACATCTCGCACAACCGCATCGGCCGCTTGGGTGCTACTGCACTGGCAGACGGGCTCCGAAGGAGCTCGACGCTCACCTCGTGCGAGCTCTCCCACAACCCAATGGGACTGGACGGAACCAAGTTCAACCTCGAGGGCATCTCCGCCATCGTGGACGCGCTTCGCAGCAATCGGCGCATCGAGTCGGCCGGCCTCACTGATGTGCACGAGGGCGCATCGTACAAGCGCGGTGCTGCTTGCCGCTTCTCGCCGACCGACCCCGACGGCAGCTACAAGCTCGACTGCGCGGACCCTTGGGATGCCTTTCTGCTTGAGACGCTGCACGCCATGTCCAACGAGCCAGGCGAGACGTGGATGCACGTGCGGCACAACGGCGCGCCGCTCGTCGTCCCCGACAGCGGGGAGTCGAGCGGAGAGCTCCCAAAGAGTGGGCTTGTGGAGTTCGAGTACGTGTCATGGAGACGCGGGCTCGAGGCGGCGCTAGACCTCGACCTTTCCAATGCGGGTGACAGGCTGCTTGCCGAGCTGGCCGAGCAGCGCGTCATTGCGGGTGATGTCTGCTGCCACTGGAGCAAACTCGACGGCACACCTTTTGCACTCGGAGTGGCGTCACTCCCTGCTGCGGGCTCCCTGCGAGCGGCTTGTAGCTCGACCACGCCGCAGGACGAGCTCACCTTTGAGGCGGCGCTCGACCTCTCCTCACCGGCCGGCCGTGCCACGGCGCTGCGACTCTGGGAGCGCCAGCTCACGTCACCCCTTGAATCGTGGCGATCGGCGAGCCTCGACGACGCGCGCGCGGACCCGGCCGAATGGCAGTACCCCCACCTCCCCGAGCAGGGCACCCTCAAGCTTGAGCACACAGTCGAGCTGAGGAGCAAGCCGCTAGACCGCGGGCGTCATCTGTCGCCGCCTATGGCTGAGGCCAGGTTCGACGACCTGATGAGGGCGCTCTCGGCCGAGCAGCAGCTATCACTTGAGGGCCCGGCGCGTGAGGGCCCGGGACTGCTCTCACAGGCTGCAGGGCGAGCCTACTTTACAGCCGAGCAGGCGGCAGCAGTGCTCCGCGTTGTGCGGAAACGAAAGGGCCGAGCCAGGGCGATGTCTGCGCTGCACCCGCGGGTAATCGACCCGCAGAACCTATCTGCCGCCGTGCAGCGGGCGTTTGCGTCGGAGGCAGAGCGGCAGGAGGTGATGGGAGTCCTGGAGGCTGCACTGTCGGAGCGACGGAGAGGGTTTGCGGTGAGATCACCGTGAGGCGCACTTGCGCTGCACGATCCTTTAGCACTTGAAGGGTGGTCCGTTTATTCTTTTTACTGATTTGGATCTTTTCTTGTTTTTGAGCGGGTCGTCCTCCCCACCGCTGCTCCAACCTAAGTCCTAAACCGCTACTCTCTCATAGAGTAACGCACACAACAACACCTCGTGATCGTGTTTTTCTATGTCAGTAAATTCACACATGCACATGTGCATGTCCATGTGCCCCCTTTGCCCCAGTCGTGCGTGCGCTTAGGACGTGTGCTCTGTCGGAGGCGTCTGAGCAAGCGGTGGGGGGAGAGGAGAGAGTCCAAGTGCCTCCCCAAGAGAGAGGATGACTACCCCGCTTTTTTACCTCTTTCCTCATGTCGTTTCCTCGCCACGACCGAGCAGCTTGTGGCTCAAACACACCCCGGCGTTTGCGCGCATTTCTCCCCCTTCCCCGCCCTGCCCCCCCTCTCCGGGCTGAGGGCTGTCCTGAACAGATCTTTTGCGAATGATGGCTGAGCAAGCCACGCCGCCCTGACTGGCTTGCTCTCTGATTTTGCAATGGCCTCTATCATTTCATTGCGCACAAAAGGCGGCGAGGTCGTGCGCGAGTGCACGAACCGCGAAGACACGCGTCCGCAAGAGAGAGGACAACGACACACCAGGCTACACCAGCAGGTCCCCAACGTCAACAGTTACAGACTGTTCAACAGTCACTGATCAGAGTCCCTGCCGGCGGCGCTGTTTGGTGTCTTCTGCGACCCTCTCGTACGGCCCCGAGTCCGGCGCAAAAGGCGGGCGAATACCCACTGAGCCTGAAGCAGATCGTTCTCTGCCGCCGCTACTCGAGCACGCATCACCCGCCCCCATCCCCCATCTCATTCCCAGGCGTCGCTCCACATCACATCTCGGACCGACATGCGCATGACGAAAGCAGCGACGGCGGCTTTGAACGCGTGGCGGCTCTGGCGTCATCGTCGCCCCTGTTGCGCTCGGTGGCCGTGTTCGCCGTAGCCGCGCGCGCACGCCATCCGATCAGTCATCGAAGACGTCGAGGTCGAAGACGTCGCGCCCCTTTGCCGGCTGCGCCTTCGTCCCCGGCTGCGTGCGGCGGCTGAGGGCGGTGCGGCGAAGCTTCGTCGATCCTCCAGCCGAGCGCCGAGGTGGGCCTTGCGCCGCCCCCTCCGGCTTCGCAACGAACTGCGATTGAGCCGGCGGTGTAGACTCCTTCGTCGGCGACGACGGCGGCCCCTCCTTGCGCTTCTGCTGCCCCACCGAGCGGCGTGGCTGCTCCGGCACCTTTCGCGCCGACGGCTCGGAGTCCAGCTGCGGGGGCTTGCCGCCGCCCCCCTCCTCGGCGCGTGGCGTGCGCTCGGGCAGCGTCTTGGGTGGTTCGGGCGAGACGCTCGAGGCGGGGGTGATCATCGGGTTTGAGCCGGTTGAGCTACCGTACCGGACGGCTGGCGCACGGGGCCCACGGCCGGGACGGTAGCTGAGCGAACGGCTCTTGGGCGTTGCGGCGCCGCCTGGCGGGCGCGCTGCGGCGTGCTGCGGCGTCGGCTGCGCGGCCCTGGACCCGAGCTGGAGCTGGTGCTCGAGTTCCGCCACCCGCGCCTCGGCCGCAGTGGCACGCTCGCCAGCCTCGCCAAGCTCGGCCTTGGCCGCCTCCAGCTCTCCTTGCAGCTCGCGGGCTTGGCTCTGCTCAGCGCTGAGCTTCTTGTCAGACTCCTCACGAAGCGCGGCGAGTTGTGCCTCGAGCTTCTGACGTGTCTGGGCCGCCTCGTCCGCCTCTTGCTTCTTGGCGCGCCCCGCCTCGTTGAGCTGGCCTTGCAGGTTGAGCAGCTGCTGCTGATTCTGGCGCTGCATCTGGTCCTTGTCATCGCTGTGCTGCTTCTGCGCATCGCCAAGCTCTTTCTTCAGCTGCTCGATCTGTGCGTCTCGCTCGCTGGCGACGGACTTGTGCTCGCCGTCGGCCTTTTGCGCCGCCTCTTCGATCCGCCCGAACTGGCGCGCAGCTCCTCTAGCTGCCCCTCGTG